AAGAAACTTTGGGTGAGTGCATTGTGAGCAAATGGTGAAGCCTCTCTTGTCTCTACCCCATTTTTTAAAGGAAAATGAACAGTAGAGATTCGCTCCTTCCGACAGCCGTAAGCTAAGCACCTCACTCATCCACACTAATAGCTTCCACGTGGCATGGACCTCAAGAGATGAAACAACACTGAGGCCCAAAGTCAATCTACCCATAGTGTCTGGCTCATCCTATGCCGAATCAGCATGACCATTTAGCCATCCGTCGCAGACATGACTCCTGAGCAACTGAAGTCGAGCTCGTCTCGAGCATGACTCTTCAATCGATGAATCAAATGTCCATCTTGGATATGGCTGCCAGGCCCAAAGTCAATCTACCCATACAAGGCATGGTGACTCAACTACGATCACATTAATCAATTCCACTCGCAGTCCACGAATAGTGAAGCTTAGTAAAGCTATCGACTACTCTCATCGATCGAGGTCGAGGCGTCATCATGAATCGCTCGTAGCCCTCAACCTCAACCTCTAGAGTGGGGAGCAAGTGATGAAGATATGCGTACTATTGTTTACACTATTGTGATGACCTTTGCTTCCTTTGAGCCCTTGGTTTGTTTGACCATCAAAATCTTCGCCCCTGAGAACACTCCCCGGGCCTTTCATGTCTTTTCGCTCTTAGAAGACAAGACACAGCACTCGGACCTCGGAAATTATTCCACTATCCATGGCTCCAAATTTGGCAGCATCAAAGTCAAATTAGACAACTTCTATACTATTCTAAAAAAATTGACAAATTTTCTGGAAAAATAAAATGCCATGTAAAACTTCAATAAATATGTTAATGACTTGGATCGCTTCAATGAAAAAACTTATGATTCCATGTTTCAACTTTCAGGTGGTGCCCACCATATTATTCACTCTGTTGTGGGAAGAAAGAAATCTTGAGTGATTGCAAATGTGAAAATAGAAAGGGATTACAAGTATGACAATGAATCGTCAAATTCTATATATGAAATTGAAAACACAAATTAGGTGGATCCCACTAGTGCAGGTAAAACAAGTTATAAGTCGTGATTGGAAAGTTGGAATCGTAATGCAAGAACAAATAAGTGATGCCAAGGAATTATAAATCATTGGGTTGCAAATAACCTTTGCCTCTCGGAGGCTTGACGAATGGATGCACAAGGATGGAAATCCTTGGCCTCGTAGACCCAATATTCTCATTAAAAAATTCCATATTTTATTGGTCATGCTTGGCCCCATGAGACATTAACCACTTTTGAAGAACCTCCATATCAAATGTCCGAGAGGTAGAGGCAGCAACGAACCGAGCTTTTCATGAGCTGTTCAAGCTTGACTCGGCTCGGCTCAATTTCAACCGAACTCAAGCCTAGTAGAGACCAATTCAGTTAGATCATATCAATCCGAGGTTCACCCGATTCAATGTTAGGTGTCTCAACTCTCAAGAAAGAAACAAAGAACTCTTACCCATTAATTCATTATAACAAATCCATTAACTGAGAAGTAAATATCAAAAGAGATATCAAGATACCTCAGGCTATATATAAATATAAAACCCAAACTGGCTGGAATTTCACCTCTAAAACCTGCTTTTTGACAGGCTGTGAGCCAAATGGTACCCATGGAAATTGGACGAAATTTCTGCATAGATACCATGGAAATTTACAACTTACAAATCACATCAGTGTGCAAGTTTCTTATTTGACATGTCAATTGTTGACAATTTCTAATTAAGCTTTTTTCTATGGTGCTATTTAGTCCTCCAAGAAATCAATTTTGTAATCAGTACTCAGAAAATTGCAAATTTTGACAAAAGCCCAAATTGTATCAGAGAGAGAGAAAAAGAAGTTTCTGATGGGCAGAGTT